ACAGACACATACACAAATTACTTATAATAATAAAATTACTTACTACTCACAATAATTTTGAATTCCTCCCCCTCCCTCCGTCTGACCCACATACCTTTTCCAGCTGTGTCACAGAGGATTTCAACTCTCCTCTTGTCTGCCATGATGAAAATGTAAAAAATGTAAAAAGAAAAAGGCAAGAGCTGCTGCTGCCAGAGCAGGAGGTGAGAGAACCATGTGCCTCCTTTAGTCTATCTTTATGATCACTTGAGCAGAGTTAAGCAAGGGTTAAAAGGCGAAAAATTCCTTATGCAAAGGAGGCACGTGGTTCTCTCGCCTCCTCCTGCAGAGGGCACTTTTTTTTAGATGCTTTTTTAAAACAGTTAAGCAGAGTCATCCATTGGGGACTCTGGCAGCAGCAGCTTTTGCCTTTTTCTTTTTACATTTTTTACATTTTCATCATGGCAGACAAGAGGAGAGTTGAAATCCTCTGTGACACAGCTGGAAAAGGTATGTGGGTCAGACGGAGGGAGGGGGAGGAATTCAAAATTATTGTGAGTAATTTGTAAGTAATTTTTTATTGTGAGTAATTTGTGTGTGTGTGTGTGCGTATGTGTTTCTTTCTTCACTTCACTCAAACAAACTCTCTCTCAATTTGAGTTTGTTTGAGAAGAGAGGGAAGGGGGAGAGGCAGGGAGGGCAGCTTGTTTGAGAAGAGAGGGGCAGCCTTGTTTGGGAAGAGAGGGGCATCCCGCCAGCAGAGGCTAGTCTTTTACCCACCTCTCCTGGTGGGTTGGCGCTTTCTTTCTTTTGCCTGCTGTGCCCCCCTTTCCTTTCTCCTCTCCCCCACACCGGGAGCCCTGTCCTGCTTCCCTCTCCCTTTCCTCCTCCTCCTCTCCCCTTTCTTCACCGGCTGCCACCTCGTCCCCCCACCTCCTCCATCCCCACCGCTGGGTCGGACAGAGGCGTCTTGCGTCTATGGCGGATATAAACATGAGATGCCTCTGTCAGACACAGCGGTGGGGATGCTGCTTCTCACTGCCGCCACACTCCGCAGCCTTGCCCCCCACGTCATCCCTGCCTCCTCCGTCCCCACCGCTCTGTCCAACAGAGGCGTCTCGCATCTATGGTGGACATAAATGCGAGATGCCTCTGTCGGGGTCAGCGGTGGGGATGCTGCTTTCTTCCGCCACCGCACTCTGCCGCCTTGCCCCCCGCCTCCTCCATCCCCACCGCTGTGTCTGACAGAGGCGTCTTGCGTCTATGACGGATATAAACATGAGATGCCTCGGTCGGGGACAGGGGTGGGGATGCTGCTTCTCGCTGCCGCCACACTCCGCAGCCTTGCCCCCCGCCTCGCCCCCGCCTCCTCCGTCCCCACCGCTCTGTCCAACAGAGGCGTCTCGCATCTATGGTGGACATAAACGCGAGATGCGTCTGTCAGGGACAGCAGCGGGGATGCTGCTTCCTTCTGCCTCCGCACTCCGCCTCCTCACCCCCCGCCTCCTGTGTCCCCGCCACTGTGTCTGACAGAGGCATCTTGCATCTATGGCAGATATAAACCCGAGATGCCTCTGTCGGGGACAGCAGCGAGGATGCTGCTTCAAGCCGCCGCCGCGCTCTTGCCTCACCAACCGTAAACCTCACCGCACGTAACTGATGATCACCAAATACATGATTGATAAATACTTTTTGTCAACTGAACAGCCAACTACCACTAGCAATCCAATTGGTAAAAAGAAATGAGTTGATACATTTTAGTGTTGAAAATTACAGAATGATGCACCATTAAAAAACCTGAAAGGCCAGTTCTTCAAAATATTTCCCTCCAATTTTATCGGAATTTTTTTGGAATAAATATAATAGTCTTAGTAAAATATTTATTTTTATAGTAGCTTTTCTTCCTGTTAATGACAATTTCAGATCTTTCCATTTCTCCAAATCTAGTTTAATTTGTCCCATCAGCTTCATATAATTGTCCTCTTTAATTGTTGCACATTTTGCTGTTAATTATATTCCTAGGTACTTCACTTTTTAAACTATCTGTATATCAATTCTTTCCATCAACACTCTTTTTTATGTATCTGTGAGATTAACGAAAATCTTTGTCTTATCTATATTTTCAGTCCTGCGACTTCCCCATATTCTTCTGTCTAATTAACTTTGGTCCAGTTTCTAATGGGTCTTTTAACATAAAAACCAAGTCATCTGCAAATGCCTGTAACTTATATTTCTCTTTTTAAAATTTCCATTCCTTTTATTTCTTCATCTTGTTGAATGTTTCTGGCTAAGACTTCCAAAATCAGTATAATAGTGGACATCCCTGTCTGATGCCTTTTTTAATGTCAAAGTTTATAGAGTAGATTGTTTGTGATATATTGCTTTAATCGTATTAATAAATATCTCCCCAAAGTCCACTTATTTTAACTGTAATAGCATAAATTTCCAATAATATTGTCAAATGATTTCTGTGCATCTAGAAAAATTAACACCATTTGTTTTCCAGGGTGTGTTTCATAATACTCCAATGTATTTAAAATCATTCTCATGTTATTTTTAATCTGTCTCTTTGGCAACTTACAAGTCTTTGGAAGTTATTTTACCAAGAGTTAGACAATAAAAACAGAAGTTAGAAATGCAGGGACATAAAAAGGATAAATGTTAAAATGGAAATTTTATACAATAGACAAGCCAAATATTATTGTTATTATAGTATCAATGTTATTGTGATGACTGTTATTGTAAGCATTTTGATTATAATTGCCTAAAAAC